GTCATGGGAAACCATTGTTCCTAATTCTTACAACATCTTCCATGACATCCTCCTCTTTATCTCACCTTTCCTGTCCCTCTTTCCTCTGGCGTCAAACTCTTCCACAGTCAAACTCTTCCACAGTTAAACTCTCATTAGTTACTGGGTAGTTGTTGTCAAAGGGGGTCGGGCCAAGAACTTATAACTCCTCCCCTTCTGGCTGGGATGAATGTAGGGGGTGAGGAATAGAAGGAGGGAGAAAGAAACAGAGAGAGAGAGACAATAGACCTTAATCACTCATGTGTCTGAGAGCTGTGTTGGCAAGCTGAGTTCCACATACACTGGGAGGGAGAAAAGAGAAGAGGAAGAGATAGACACTGTATGTGGCCACCAAAAAGGAAGGGAAAACACAGAGGTGGACAACCTGGGAGAAGAGTTATCATTACGATAAGCTAAAGACAGGACAGTTAACAACCAGACTGAAGAGAGAACATTTGACATAAAGGAACACAATTTATCCTGAAGAAAAACCTTCATTTGAGGACCACAGCTTCTACTGAAGATATTTCCATCTACTCTGCTGTCCAAATTAGAGTATGCCCTACTGTTCCTGTCACCCCTGCCGCCGATCCAGGCGCTCAGCATGATCTCCCACTACCATCTGGCCACCGTCTTGCCCTGGCCTGCGAGTCCCCTCTATTACTGTCCCAACCTGGACTGCACCTTGCTGCTGGAGGGGGAAGGAGGTGTCGCACTGCAAAGGTACCAGCCTCGTTCCCCGGAGAGCTGCCCACGTCACTGGGTCAGTATATGGCAACATTATTGTGTCTGTTTGTCCAAGTCTGTTTATGTGCCTGAGAATCACAAGTCCTTCCAGTCTTGTTAAACAGTCTTGTGGCCTTCTTGTGCCTTCTGGTGTATGCAATGTGTGTGAGGTGTTTAGTGTCCAAGGTTCTGATAAATTCAAGGATGGTGGTGAGAGGTTCAGTGTGGAGTATTTGGATCAAAAGTGAAGAAGGATTCACTGAGAGAAAAGCTTGGAATTATAAACATCTGAAGATACGTAAAGCGAGGGCAGAGTGTTTGTGGCTCCTGCAAGGTCTGTTTGTTGGATGCTGACTGTGAGAAAGTAGAGGAGAGTGATAAGAAAAGAAAAATATGGAAAAGGAGCTAGAGCAATGAGTAGTGGGGAGAAAATCAAAGAACATCCTTAGCTGTGCTGGACTCAGCAGGTCTGTTCTGGCTGGCGGTCACATGGTTATCTAACTGGTTCTGACACTTCCTGCTTAAGCACTTTACAATGCACAGCAAGTGAGGTTCATTTAGATCAACTCAAAACAAATGAAAAACATCCTAAACTTATCAATCTGATAAATTTAGACATCAGCAATTGGTTTGCCATTTCTCCAGTGATTGTCCCATTTTCACTTCCTCTGTTTGACCTCTACTCAGTGAAACTTTATGCAATAAATTGACAGCTCATAGTTCAAGCACACAAACTAGACAGTAACCTCTGGTGGATAGCTGACATTCACTCTAAGCACCGCTTATTGGTAACTTTGTGTGTTTGAGTATCGCTCACTAATCCAAGTTCAGAGAAAAGGCATTACTAACTTTTACTTCAGAAGCTGACATGACTTATATACAGTATGTGTCAGCCAAAGAACAGAGCATGACAAAAATATTCCTGACATTACAGTGCATGTCAGAATACATGCAGTGTTTATTTCATTTGTCCGTGAGGTAGCAGATTCCTCATAACAGTAGGATTACCAGAAAACAACCTGCAGCAACAGCTTATTCCAATTTAGTTGTGGCTAATTGTTTGCATGTGTTCACTAGTGGTATTAAGACCAAAGTGAAAATATTTTTGGTGCATATGTTAAAGCAAAAGGAAAATTCACAGTCGTTTGTGAGGATCTTTCCTATATTTTTGTCCTGTCAAGCTACAGAGAAGGGCAAAATATTAGGAACACCTCTGAATATAATGTAGTCCAATACAACACCACCTTTAACTATGACTTCAATAATAAACATAAAATTGAATTTATACATTTATGACAATTTCCCTAAAAACTGAAACATCTTGAGCTTCAGAAGCACAAATATTAAAGCAGATATGTTGCACTGAATTGCATACAATTGTACAGGTGTTCTTAATAAAGTGGCCAGTGAATGTAAGCTACCCTAATAGTTCATCTGTGTAAATTTTCATCAGATGACTGTCACACTGGGGTGTTTGTATGTTACTGTTTGGAGATCATCCTCATCGCTGCCTATCTGACATCCTGGCTGAAGTATCCTTCTGTCTCACACCACTGTTTCTGTCAATTGTTGTGAGGGGTTTGAGGTCTGGAGGGTAGCTTGCAGACACGCTGTGTGCTGTAGCCAAAGAGAGGCTCAGCTAATGTGTCAGCTCTGCATGCCAAAAGCTCATACTTGTGACTGTTTTTTATAGTACCCACTTGTTATTGTTCTCACAGCTGGGCAATAAGGCTGATTATACAGCCAGGTCAATACTTACCAGAAAGTTATGTAACTTACAGTAGCATAGTCTAATTAAGTCCAAGTAAATTAAGTAATCAAGTAATCCAATCAAGTAAACCAAGTAATCAAGTAAAAGCCCTAGTGAAATTTGTTTATTATACACAAACTACTAGCATTTGCAGTATATTGATTTTGTGCCAAAACGGCCCCAAAGTCCTCAAATTATTCTTATGATAAACAGCAATAACTGCATGACCTCTCCACTCCCCCTTTACTGCGCTCAGGTGCTCCTCGCTCCCCTGTCAGTTATTATTTTGCCTACCTACAAAAGATGATGAAACCGTGTCGGTCATAAAGGCAAGGACTGGACTCATTACCTCTCCGTAATCACCCTACTAGACAGCTGTCAGGTCCACAGGTCATGTCAGAAACCAGGGAGGAGTGCTGAGTGAGTCTTTATGAGTGACACATTTTACTGCTCAAACTGCTTTTTGAAATCTGTGAAGGACAATGTAATTAAGCTCCAGGCTGATCAATAAAAGCTCCAGTAGGAATATTAACTGCTACCTCACACCCATTGGCTTATAGTAAACCAGCGGAGCAGTTCAATAACCTCAGTGGGTCATTCTGTGGAAATGCAGAAGTCACTTGACAGGGAAAAACAGGGACAAAGGAGGGGGGAGGGGGGCGACGACAAAGAATTTTGATGATGGCGTGTTTTCCGTTGAAAATATGTAAGAACGCTGAGTTAGCACTCCCCCTTCCTCTTTCTGGTTGTTCTGCAGTGAAGTGCACGTTTCAGGCTGATGTCCTATGACGTTTCAGTGTTTCCATTCCCTGCAGTGTTTTTTCTTGCTTGTCATGTGTTTTGATGACTTGACAACGATTTCAACAGTTTGTGATTCATTCATTTGGAAAGATGAGCTTTTGACTTGTTTGGTTTGTCTTTAATATAAAACTGCATGTGTTTCAGTAATGTTTGTTTACCAAAAACCCATGCAGAAATGTTACACAAGATCCATAACATTTCTGATATAGTGATACATTTTTCAACAGCTAGTTTACATTTCGAACACACCATTTCAGAGGAAATGCCAAAAAAAAAAACTAATTAAACACTGTCAAAACCAAAGAAGATTGGACAGTAATGTACTTCTGCGCATTCTTTTGCTGCAAATTGCACAATTCACAAACTACCAGACCTCTTTTTTGTCCAAAACCTCTTTTGTCATCCCTTCATTCAGTTGACCACCAGTGTGTCAAGGTGTCTATTTGGCTGCAGCTCTGCTGAGGTTCATATTGTGACCTTGGATCTAATTAGGTCACACAATAGGACTAGTGTGAGAAGTCAGTGTTGTGGGCATTTCCCCTGTCACCTGAGTGTCTGTCCCAGGACCACCACAGCAGCAGCTCACTCAACTGACTGCACCATATGGAGATGGGTGTGTACTTGGTGGTGGTCTGTTTGTATGCATGTGTATGTTTAGGCAATACAGTATGTGCAGCAGCTTGTGTGTGTGGCAAGGTGCCTGCACCACACATTTGTCTTTCTATAACTGTGAGGACATTTGTGGACATAATGCATTCTCTAGCCCTGTACTCTAACCTTAACCATCACAAGACCTTATACCTAAATCCATCTCTCAGTCCTCCTTTGAAGTTGTGAGGACTGGCCAAAATGTCCTCCCAAAATCAAAATGTACCCACAATCATGTTGTTGAACTAACACACACAGGCACCTAATCATGTTTCAATCACTTCAGAGGACATTACATTGACTTATACATATTTTCTGGAAACCTAATATAACCCTAACCATAACCACTGTTTGCCTGACCCTACATCTGATCTTAAAGGTAGGATTGGCAATCCTGGAAAAACCAGCAAGAGAAAGCTCAATTTTGAGTAGCTGGCTGAAGAAATCCCACCCTTTCATTCTGACTTCTCTCCAAAGCCATTCCTCCAAAACACAATGCACACTGCAGCATGTGCCACCTAACTAATACTTAAAAGATTTTTTTTTCCAAAAATAACAAATGCCCACCAAAGAAAACTCAACCGATAACTACCTGTCCAGAAATACAGCCACCATGGTGTCACTTTTCAGCTCATTTTGTTCTCTCAGTTGTTACCATCATTGAAAAGCCAGACTAACGTTTATTCTGGTTTTAGTTCTTGCAGCATGCTTCTTTTTAGTTGTAACTTACCCAAATATAGTGTTACCTGCCCAGATCTGCGGCCCTGAACTGTAGTTGGGGACCTCTGGTTCAGAGCTAAACTGTTTTAGCCCTGGCTCATAGCTGGTAACTAGCCTTAGAAGTCCAGGCTTTTGTGGCGGGGCGAAGTGAAGAGGGAGGCCAGCTAACTCCGTTCAAAACACAGGCTTTATTCCATCTTGATAACAAGAACACTGCATGTGGCCTTTGATGCCCAGTTAACTGCATTATAGTCCTAGTTATACACTGACTACTGGTGGTATTTTCCCCACCCATGGCTGGATAAAAAAGGAGTCTGTTTCGTGTAGTGGCCTTCTTGCCCTCATACTGCTCACACTGCACGCAGGTAGCAACTTCTGGCAACAACAACATTACCTATAAGGCTATATGTCTTAAAGGCGAAGGCCTGACCTGTAACAACAGCCTCTGATTGCTAACAAAAGTTGCTGTGGGTACCTCGTCTGCCATAGTTCACTAGCTTTAGCTATCAGAACCTGTCTGACTGGCCTTGTGGAAGACTCAACTCACACACTGAGTGCATAGGCAGAGTGTGTGCAAGTAGGAAGTTAATAGGCAGGTAGACTGTCCAACGGTATTGCTTGGGATGAGAAAGATCATTGGTCAGGCTTTTTTCAGCCCTGCTGCTGCCAGAGATGACAGAACTTTTTCTTTATGTCGTAAATGCATTTAATGTATTCATTGCTATCAGGATGAAAAGAGAATTTCAAGACATTTAATAAAAAATGCTTCTGAAAAGAATTGCCAACCCCACCTATAACCTAAACCTAAGACAAAATGTAATGATTTAATTATCTTTTTGTCCCCTAAAAGAACACGGGCCCACAATGTGATGTGTACAGATTCATGTCCCCACAACATGAGTAATTCAAGTGCACACATATATGCACGCACACGCGCAAGGACACACAGAATATTTTGTATTCCTTTTCCCATTTGAAAGTATTAGCCAGGACACATGACTAGGATCAAGCTGGCATTGTGATGTGTGTATTAGTGGGTGTTTGTGTGTGTGTGTGTGTGAGAGAGAGAGAGAAAGAGAGAGAGAGAGAGAGAGGTATCTGGTATTACTGTGTAAAGC